AATCGAGAAACAAATGACCTAATTAAAAGATGGGCTGAAGATCTAAACAGCGAGTTCTCAAAGGAAAAAATAAAGATGGCTAAGAAATATCTCAAAAAGTGTTCAACATCGTTATTAATTTGGGAAATGAAAATTAAAACCACTCTAAGGTATCACCTTACCCCAATCAGACTGGCTAGGGTCAAGAGAACAAATGATACCAAATGCTGGCAAGGACGTGGAGAAAGGGGAATACTCATTCACTGCTGGTCGGACTGCAAACGTGTGTAGCCTTTATGGATAACATTTTAGAGAACGCTTAAAAAACTAAAAATGAACCTACCACATGACCCTTTTGTACCATACCTTGGCTTATACCCAAGGACTCATCCTGTTGTGGAGACACATGTGCAACCATGTTTATTGCTGCTCTTTTCACAATAGCTAAGAGATGGAAGAAAACAAAGTGTCCCTCAACTGACGAATGATTAACAAAAATGTGGAATGTGTATACAATGGAGTTCTATTCAGCGGTAAAGAAAGACGAAATAATGAAATTTGCAGATAAATGGATGGATCTAGAAACTGTTATACTAAATGAAGTAACACAGACTCAGAAAAACAAACAATGTATGTTCTCCCTCATATGTGGCTCCTAGCACCAAATCCTTTTAAATTCTAGGTCCTTTTAATAAGATATTATACAGCAGTCCCCTCTGCATGAAATAGCTACCATCATCACAACTTTGGCTGAGCCTAATTGCTAAATATATTCAAAATTAAGCTTATTGATGGTTGTGCTCATTCATTAAAGGAGTGCCAAGCAGGGTCACTGGACCCTCACCTGAGTATCCAGGCACTCTTCTCAGCCAACTAGTCCAGCCTTGGAAGACAAAAGAAAAATGAAGAAGAACAAAATTGAGGGATGCTTTTGGAAGCCCTTGTCAAGAAACTCCAAAGGACTCTCATATGAACATTTGAAAATTGCACTGTTCTTTTTTCTAGTTCCATGTGTAGAACTTATAGTGCTAATTACTCTTGCCTTGACTTCTCCTTCACATCTCCTATTCACGATTCAAGGACTTTCTTCTCCTCTTAGAGACAAGAGTTATGCAATTTGTGAGTCTTGTAGATAGAGCCACTGAAGGGATACTCCAATTGCCTCATCCTCCTACCTTGTTCAGCATGGAAGAAGCCAGAGAGGTCTGTGTCCCTATTCCTCCATTGGCAATTTTGGCAAACCCTTTAGAGTATGTTCAGAGCAACATATTCTGTTCCAAGGCTAAAAATGTCAAAAATATTTGGGAGCTTGTAGGTAATCCTTAAAAAGATTTTAGGGTTACCTCTTAAGAGGGGGGAATGTTGGAGGGGAGGAAGTGAGCATGGATTTGATCAAAACACTTTATATACATGTATGAAATTCTCAAGAAAGATTTTGTACATATTTTTAAAAAAAGAAAAAGAAAAGTAGATGCTATTCCAAAGAGAGAAATGGAGGAAATACTTCAGAAATTCACAGAGGAAGTGAAAGGATGCAGGGAAAGATTTGAAACTTAGATATACCACAAAGAGAATCAAGATGTCTGTAATTATAAAAATGCATATTTAGCATACAGTAAAAAAAAATCATGTTTATCTAAGGATGTGACAGACAGATTTTCCCCTAGGATCTATGACCTCTGCAACCATGTGTCTTTGATTGTGTTCACAGTGCCATACATGAGTTCCCTCCCAATCAGAGAGCTTTAAGAACAGTCAGATAACCATTGCTTCCTCCCAAGATAAAAGTGCCATTTTACACCACTATAATTTGTGTGCTGGTCATTGTTGTGTTTGTTAGACTTTGAAGCTGGGGTTGGACTGTTAATTGCTTTTCTCTCAGCAGTTTCCTATAATCCTCCAGAACTATATGAGCTAGTCTTCATGGAGGAGGCTTCCAGGTCACTTCCAGCTCCATTGTTCCAAGTCCTGTGTCTGAAGTAAGTCTTGTCTTCATTGATAAGGACTTACCTTCAAGTTATGAGAGACAATGAAGGGCTGTGGCAATAGGCTGTGTTATTTTGGGAGTCTCTTGGATTACCCTGACCAACAACTGGAAGGGAAGTTTCTCCTGTCTGGCACTTTGTTTCTTGTTATACAGCCTTCAGACAAGTATACTATTCACCACTCTTCAGAGAATCTTCTTTTTACAACAGATGGAGACCACTACAGAGTTTCATGACTGGCCACACAGAGAATATGTGTCTGAGGAATCCCCAGCCCTAAACAACATATCTACAGTGGAATATCTATGCCCAAGTCTCACGGAACATAGTAAAACAGGAGGTGGAGGGAACCAATGCATGTCTTAACTTTCACCAGTGAACATTCCTCATACAACAGAGCGAGATGCACACAGAAGGCCACAATGGGACAACATGTAAAGAATAAAAGACTGCAGAGAGTGCGTACCTGGGTAGGACTCCTACATTAAATCTCACCAATCTATAGCTCAGGGACCATTGCAGAAGAGAGGGCCAAAATCCAGGATTGGTGCATGAACATAAGGATACACAGTCTTCCAGGCCTCTGCAAACTTCCCTTATGAACTTATGGCAGTGGTGCCAGCATTCAAATTCAATAAGACAAAAACCTGGTATAGAACTAGGTATTATGGGCAGTAGGCCCCAACCTTAGTCGAAGAACTACTGCCAACTAATTAATCTTGGATGAGGAATAGTTGGTCTTCTTTCAGGGAGTGGCTCTAGATAGGCAGACTAAACCCCAATGAATGAAATTGCACTGATGGATATCTGGATTCGCAAACTTGATTTGATAAGCCTTAAACGATATAATACAATACATGAAGTCCGGTGGGAGGAGGGCGATGTGGTGTGGATGTGAGAGGGGTTATAAAGGTATTTAAGATGTTTTGTATAAAATGGACAAAAAATATACATTCAAAAAAAAAAAAAAACCAAAAAGCAACACCAAGACTCACTCACGAAAAAGAATAAACAGAAAGAAAGAGTATAAGGATTTGATTATCAAGATATTTCAAATAACTATAAATAAATCAATAAGCATCATGACCCCAAGGTCCATGACTTCTGGGATATAAGGAAGAGCCAAACCTACACGTTCCTTTAGCTGAGGAACAACACTGAAGCATAGAGAATCTGCTCAATGGAAACTCTCTCAAATTAGAGAAAGAAACACATTCAAACACAAGAGGCATTTAGAACACAATATGCATTAGCAAAAAAGTTTTTTTCCACAACATATTATAATTATGGCATTAAAAATACAAACCCTGTGGTTCAAAAAGTTGTAAAGGAAGAATCCACTTGTTTCCTTAATTCTTTTATGTCTGTTCATTTGTTTGTTTGTTTTTGTTTCATAAATTCAGCCCTGATTTTTTAATACATGAGGTCCACTGAAGGGTGCGAAGCATGGATGGCAGAGGGGATCTAAACTGGATTAAGAGCTGTTATATAATATGTACAAAAGCTCAAAATTTTTTATAAATAAACACGCATTTCTGATGAGATATTTTCCTTCAGAAATAGGAGGACTATATATTTTGATATCATGACAAGTTTTTAATGTATCTATAGGTAGGTGAGACAATGTTTGTAAATTTGACTTTTACACTTGACTAAAAAGGGCAGGGTAGAATACCATGGTGCAGTAGAAACAGCTAAGGCTAAGATCATGGGAAATTGCATATACATGACCTTCTATGTCTTGTAGTCAGTGAGATCTAGAAGACAGGGAAGGAAGACAAACCAGAGGATCAAAAAAGGAGTAGGGAAGACAGAATAAAGGAAAATTTCTGAGCTTATCATTGACAGGAATTCACTGCATCAGATATCTTATGACACATAATAATCCCCAAACACAGTGATTTAAATGGTAGCTCATATAATAATTCTGCAGTCTGGCAATTTTCCCTGGAACCACATTAAGAGGGATGGCACATCTAGACTTGGCTCAATTCAGATAACCTCAACTGGGACTCGTCAATGCCTTAAACTCTCTCCTTAGGTCTACTTGAGCTGGCGAAGTGCTAGCTGGAGCATCCCTTCTGCACTTCTTATAGCCTTCCCTCTTCATTCAGACTACCTTAGATTAACTTGTATGATAACTTATGTGAAAACTTCATAATTACAAATTGTTGCCCCCCTCTCGCTTCCACATGGGTGAGAAGCTGGGGCCATCTTTTCCTCCATTTCTGCCTCTAAGCATTTTGGCAGCTTGTGACTTCCATCCCAAGATGCAGGCCAGAAGACCCTCCCTCCTTCACTAACTCTCTGTAATCAGTTCTTCACAGCAGGCCCTGGGAGGAATCAGGTGCCTGCGACACACAAAGAAAGCAGGGACAAAGTTCTTCTAAACATGAAAATTTCATACAATTTTCCAAAAAAACTAGTAATCAAGTTACAAAATCTACACATATTCACAGAGTGGGAAATAAACACCAAAATTGAAAAGTGTAGCCTAGTGTGGTCATTTTTGCAATTTACTCTATTCAGCTACACAATTTCAAGGGAATATCTCTGGAAGCATCTCTAGGGTAAGTAAGAACATGAGCACATAACTCTCACTTGGCTCAAATAACTCTTCTACAAAGTATTCCCAGAGCCAATCCCATGTCCTTGTTCCTCAGGCTATAGATGAAGGGGTTTAACATGGGTGTTACCTCTGTAAATATTAGTGCAGAAATTAGATCCTTAATGTGGGAATTATTTGAGGAAGGAAAGAAATAAATCATTGCAGGAGTCCCATAATACAAAAACACCAAGAAGAGGTGTGAGCCACAGGTGGATATCACTTTACAGAATTTCTTCATGGAGGGGACCTTTAGGACAGTAAAACTAATACACATATAAGAGGCCACAATAGTACCCAATGGCAGCAGAGTCAATATTCCACCACCAGTGAAGATGACTAGCTCATTGAGTGAGATATCTGAGCAAGACAACTTCAGGAGTTCATTGAGATCACAGAAAAAGTGGGGGATAGTGTTTTCACAGAAGGACAGGCGGTAAAAGAGCAGGGTATGTAGCAGGGCTGGCAAACAAGAGAGGAACCAAGATCCAGCCACCAATAAGTCACACAGCTCCTCTCGCATGATGAACATGTAGTGCAGTGGGTGGCAGATGGCCACATATCTGTCATATGCCATCACTACAAGAAGGAAATTGTCAACAGCTGCAAAAAACAAGAAAAAATACAATTGAGAGATGCACCCCTTATAAGGGATGGACAGGTCTTGAGTCTGCATGTTGCTGAGCATCTTTGGGATGGTGACAGATGATAAGGAGATGTCAGAGAAGGCCAGGTGGCACAGGAAGAAGTACATGGGGGTGTGGAGGCGAGAGTCCAGCCTGATGAGCAGGATGATGAGCAGGTTCCCCAGCACTGTGGTCAGGTACATGGCCAGGAACAGGGTGAAGAAGATGCCCTGCTGCTCTGGCTGGATGGGGAGACCCAGGAGGATGAACTCAGACACACTGCTCTGGTTCCCCCTCCTCATCTTCCTTGTCCTGCTGGGAATGAAGGAGAAGAAAATATCAGAAACCTGAGATTCTCACCAGGTAGATATAATATGCATGCATTTTTAGGGGACTGCATCCAAATTCTGACAAACTCCACAATTTTTAGTCTGAATCTCACATTGGGCTTATACTAAACAGACCGAGGACATTTCCAGTGCTAACGAGATGCCTTTAAGAAAGAATGCAAATTTGTTCACTTACTAACACATCATCTAAGCAGTGTTTTCAGCACTCAAAACAGATAATAAAATTCCTTGTTGGAGCACTGGAAATAATCATTTCATAGAATATTGAACAAGAGGTACAGCCTTCCCACCAGGAGGCTGAGATGGGCCCTGGTTCAGAGATCTACTTCTTCAGTTTCCTGGGCCACTTTCCACGTGCCATTGATTGAGTTCCTTCTATAAAGCATAACAATGTTATCTACTTATAAAAATTTGTTGGAAATCTACGTTAATACAAGTAATGATCTTAGAGCAGATCCTTACACATGGCCATATTCGGCCACATTCATTACTACAGTAGGACAATTTCAGCAGAAAATCCATTATCAAAATCCAGGAACTCAGACATACAGAAGAGTGAAGAGTGATTAGCCAGACCCAGTTAGGACATTAAAAAACTCACTAACCTCCTGGAATTTCACAGTCTCTGCAGATGTATGGACTCAAAACTTGGACCATGGTGATAGTTATTAAATCCCTAACAGCAACAATGACTAGAAGCTTGATCTTTTCATTGTACTTCACTATCCCCTCTCTACTCCACTCCCCTCCCTCTTCCTATTCCCTCCTTTCTCTCTTCCTCTCTCCCTATCTCCTTCCTCCTTCCCTTATTTCTCTCTGCTCTCTACACGTCTCTCCCTCTTTCCCAATACAAGGATTCATTCATAGTAACAGACCTGAGAAACTTCCTTTTCAGAATCCCGAGAATTTGTCATGCTTTGAGATTTTGAGTATTCAGTACATAATAGATTCATAGTCGGCTAATTTATTGCAATCTTAATCATAAATGGTGTTGAGTGAGTTCTTAATAGGACAAAGGCAATTAATAACATTATATTGGTAAATGTAGGCATGAGAATACTAATTCTCTGGGGTGTTAAGTAACCCATCCCAATCACTATGGTGATACCTGATGCTGTCACATTTCCAAACATTGCCAGTATGATCAGATGCCCTGCTCATCACCATTCCACTGGTCTTATACCTTCATTCATTAGGAAATCTAGGATGGGCTCTGTGTTGCAAACCTGCAATCCCAGCACTTAAGGAAACCAAGGCAGGAGGATCATGGGCTTGATCTGGTATCAGCCACATGTCGAGTTCTGGGCCAGCCTAAGTCACATAAAGAGATATTACTTCAGAAAACAAGACGAATGGGAGCAAGACAAAAGGAGAGAAAAAGAGAGAAAGATAACAGAAGAGAGAAAGGGAGGAAGATAGTTCAACCCTAAGACTGAAACAATTTCAGTGTTTCAAAGTTACACCACGCCAACAGCTTGATTGTCTACTAATGGTCATACATGAGATGATTCTGTAGTTCACTGTGTGCTGTCATAGCTGGTCTCTTTGAGAGAGGAAGGTGAGACTACATAATGACTATGTCTGAACAACTGGTCTCCATTAGCCTTCGTGGGCAAATCAGACTGTACACTCACTAATTCACTAAATTTGCAGCATTTATGTGATTTATTTCCAACAGTCAGCAAAAATTTACAAAATGTTTCTTTGTTTGGTATTTTTTTCCACAAGGTCTCTCTAGTCCCAGCTCACCTTGAAATCACTATGTGAACCAGGCTGACCTCCATCTCCCAGAGAGCCAAATGCTTCTGCATCCCAAGTGCTGGAATTAAAGGCCCATGCCACCATGCACCCAGTATTACTAAGTACATCCAAAGCAGGCATTCAAAGGTTTGTTTTGATGTGCCTCCTAGTATTGAAACAGAGGTGTAAAGCCTCATGCCGAAGGGCCCTATAGTAATTGCTGGATCCGAATCTTGAGAACAGAACTTCTGAGAGTGTTTTTTTATGCTTTGAAGAATTATTATTTTTTAAATTTATTTATTTTTACACCCACTTCCCAGATGGTACCCTCCCGTAACCTCCCTCCCCCGTCTAGAGCCCTTATACTCTGATATCCCTCCTACTGCAGTTTTTTAAATGCAGCTTTGTACCATATCAAGTCAGAGTTAAATCACAGTTGGAGATCACATACAGAACACCAGAAAATGTAATCCAGGCAATTTCCCTCACCTGAAGGCACAGGTACCCGGCAATCAGCATCTATAAGAGCAGAGAGGAGCAGAGTGGACAGTTGTCACTCAGTGTGAAACAGGAAGAACATAGCAACTTACACTTCCAATGAGATCTGCCAACCCACTGGCAGTGATTATATCCAACATTTTGTAATTCAAGCATGTTTGAATAAAAATCCAGAAGTCAGAGGTCAAGCTTAATGACTGGATAAGCAAAAAGAAGACTTTGTTTCCAATCACTCTCTGTGAAAGAGGCAGCTGCACACACTCAGGAATGAGGACGGGAAGCAGCCATGTAGAGCTTGACAAACGGTCTCCAAATGAGTCTCCTGCCTCCATTTTGCCAAGAAAATACACTGTGGATCTTAGTGAAATGAATTATTGAATGTTTATAACACAGCAATTGCCTGGATAAATACTTAGGGTCATAATTTATAGTTCAGGCTACTGAGCTTCACAGAGTTTATCCCAATGTCATAAAACTATGAAGAGTCAAGATTAGATATTTTAACCAAGAATGGGAATATGGCATTGATGAAAGCTAGAAAAGAAAAATTCTCCTACAGAATTTTGGGGACAGGAAGTCATATGGGACAGGAGCTAATTTTATAGGTTAAGAAGGGACATCTTGGGGGCTGTCTTGATTAAAAGGAGGTAAGTCCTGAGTGCACAAGGTAACTGTGAGTTTGTTTCCCCAAGGTACAAATGTGCAGGTGTGTACACAAACACACACATTACATAACCATAGCTTGAGCTCTTTGTCTTCTATAGATTAGAATACAAGTATGTTGCGTAGTCACAATTGCATGACAAATAGTCATATAAGCTACATTTCAGCAATCATAGATTTCTCTGACTAAATGTCATTCTACTTATAACCTGTACTCAGTAGGTTACAAACAGCTAATAAAAACTGCCACATGCCGCAATACACAAGAACATCATACCCAGCCACACACACATACACACACACACACACACACACACACAAACTGTACCATATCCATAGAAAAACTCATGCAGTCATTCAGTGACACAGAACGTTCAACCATCATACAAAATATACTATCAAGAAGAGATGATTTCCAAATCTTTATAATCTACATCTGTCTTTCTTACATAAAAAGTGGCTCTATAAGTCAATTCCCTACTAAATACACTGTATTCATACAAAAACACACAATACATACATGTTCTCACATAAATACACATAGTGCTAGGAAATGACTCCTTATCTTCTTCTGATCTTTGATAATCCTTGACAAACTCAAATATCTTCTGTTCAAAGCTATATCTGAACCCTCACTTTCTGTTTATGAAGAAGATCCCAAACCAAGAAGAAGCTCTCCTGCCAAAGGGTCTACTGGATGCTCCTATCTGTTTTCAAGAAGCAGAAAGGTAGACAAGATGTGCATCTACCAACAAGATTAGTGCCCATGGGAAACGGTTCAAGCTTCTAGTGAGAAAATGAACTGCAATGCACTAATTGTGCAATTTCTTGTATTGCCCATGGGAGGGGATCTGTGAAGGGACTATATGGGCTGAGCCACAAGAGACCCAGAAAGAAGTGTGCTTGACCTTGATGCTTGTGTCATGGGAAGCATCAGTGGCCATGGGAATCATGGATTCTGATGTAACCAAGTGTGGTTTGAAATAATCATACATCACACACTGTCCGCAGACAAAGCAAAGCCTGTGCTCACAGCCTCCCACAACACTGATTCCAATGTCTCTAAGCACTCATATCTCATTTCTTTCTTAGAGATTGTAGGTCTCTGCATTCCTCTGAGAAACTGCACAGAGCAAGTCCTGGCACTTGATCAGGAGGTAGAACAATGGGACTGAGTCCAAGGTCATTAAACACATGCTGACCATAGAACAGTACCTGGTATGTCCTTTATTCACTGTGTATCCTAACCAAAGGCTGAAGTTCTCAGCTAATTAGTAACAGGAATCATGAAAAATTAGAAAATTCATGGATACATGTAGTATATATTCAAACCACAATTCCCTTGCACAGTAGTGGTGGTATATGTCAGATATATCTTCAATATGTGTTAAAATAAAACTGTTAACAAATGGCATCCACAGGTTGTCAAACAGTTCTCCAGCTCTATATCCCACCTCTCAAAAACCCAATTAACAATGATATGGGCATGGCCTCATAATTATCTAGAAATTGAGAGTAAATTTGGGTCTTTCAGACTGTATTGTTCTTCTAAGAAACCAGATTAGTACCACACAGACAGAGAATTAATTCCACAGGTCTCAGAGAGACTACAATTGCCAAATGGACCTGAAGGCTGGTATTCATTATCCCCACCATGATGGGAACCTTCACAAGAGGCTCATTCTGTCCCATCCCAAGAGAAGGTTGGGGAGGACAAATAGAGGCAGGCTATACAAAATATGGTAAAAACAAAACTGAGGTGAGGATATCGGGGGGGCGGGGATTATATGGTTGTCTGTAGTTGGGCTTCATTCTGGCCACAGATAAACAAATACATACCAGAAATATTCCTACTCTGAAGAAAACTCAGCCCATGGGTTCTCAGGGCTTGAGCCCTGCCTGCCTTTCCCAAGTATTCTTGTGGAGTCTTCATTGGACCCATTCAAACTACCTACTGCACTAGCCCAGCTATCAGGAATTCCAACCTGGGAGATGCTGGTCACTGCCATTTTGACTAGGACATACTCTAGGGGCAAATACAAGAGTAAAAT